GAAAACAGTTTCAGATTGAGGAAAGAAGGCGCGAAGAAGAGAGAGGTGAAGATGGCATGGGGATAGTAGGAAGTGGGGGAAGTCTGCATACATGGCACCGACACAGAAAGAAAAAGGCACCAAAACAGTTATGTTTCGTCCATTCTAGCTCTAAAACTAATTGAAGATTGAGAGAAAAAAAAAAAAAAAAATGATATCTGCATGCAAAAGTGGATGCGAGAAAATTTTTACGCCTATTCAGATCCTACTGAAAATTCATAGAGCCTTCAAGGGCGAATTTAGTAACATTCACTTGCAAGAAAGGACACGTCAGCTGGAAGTGCGGCAACAAATTCTGAAATCCCCAACTGCTAAACAAGCGCGCTCACTAAGGCGGGCGTAAGTCCTACGTGAATTCATGGATCACCGGAGAGAATTCACAAAAAGTCCTCAGAAAGAAAAAACAAACTTAAAAGCGGGAGGGCCTCCTCGGCCATAGATTCCATGCATACCACCAACCAAAAAGAAGGGTACCCCTGAAGCCCGTTAGAGATCGAAAAAGCATGGATAACAGAACTCAGGGCTTCGGAAGTTCGTTCAGGTACAAAAGTTGGTACGTCACACCTATGCTTGCAGGAGTCCCCTCTGTATAGTCTTAAGAATAGTGGTCGGAAGGTAGTGAAAGGCAAACATAATTTGAGAGAAGAACATAGTGCAGTGAAAGAGGCAGGGGACTCAGTCATTCAGCCCAAATCCCAAGGAGGGCTAGGCATCATTGACCCGTCCACGCAGACCGCAACGCTCAGCCTAAAATGGATAAAAAAACTCATAATGGAACCACACTCTCCATGGAGCGCGCTGGCACTGGACCAAATCAGAAGATTAGCTCCACAAGCACCCCCTTACGTCGACCCTCTGTTGTGGTTGGAAGATAGATAATGGGCTCTCCTACGACCTGAAGGCAGATCAAGTAGAACCTGAGACACCTTCTGGCCGGAGCTCGAAAGGAACTGGAGGAAATTACCCCTGCCGGATAAACGGGCCCCAAACAGATGGGAAGAGGTATATAGGCAACCCCTGTTCGGCAATAGGTGGGTTACTGAGACGAGGGGCCAGGTTCTACATAGCACAGTAGTGCCTTGGAAATATTGGGTGCAAAATGGGATCACCAAAGTCGGGGATCTGTGGGATGAACAAGAGCGGGATTGGAAAACAGTGGAGCATCTTAAACATCAGCTCAAATACGCCTGTGCAAGGGAGGACCGTCTGGAGGATCTGATCTCCTCAGTCCCACTGGACTGGTATCGGATCCTCAAGAAGGGACCTAAACTGCGGAGGGGGACTGAGTCGCATTAGCTGAGAGAAAAGGGTGGGTTGGTCTGATTCATGAGATCCGCCAGGAGGATGCTCTTATCGAACTTTACGCAGTAAGAGGACGTAGCCGGTTGGAGGGCAGTCGTGACCCGTTTCAGTGGATTGAAAGAAACCAGATCTTCAGAATCAGGGTGTTGGAAGATGGACATCCTGGTGTACCGTCCGGAAACCTCAATTGCCATGTTACCCTTTGACCCACAACATTGGAGATGGACCCCCCCGAAATCCCCCCCGAAGGGGCCAAAAAAAACCATGTTCCTGCACAGACTCTCGGTTAAATCCGCCTATCGGATGCTCTGCCAAAAACAAAATTGGTAGACAGCATCAATGACAGATGGGCAAAACACCTCAATGTAGCAACATACCTACTGAAACCAGTCAAGTGGTTCCAGGAGACAAAGAGGAAACCGGCGAAGATCACATCTCTACAATGGCAGATCGCGCACAGATGCCTCCCCACCCAAAACTGGCTAATAGATCACACCCGTTTAGAACAAAAGGGGTTAGCGTCCCCGTGGTGTCCCAGCTGTCTGCAGAACTTCCCCAACAGGAAGATACCAGAAACCATAGAACACATATTCTTGCAGTGCCCGGGAGCATTCCTCACGTGGTGATGGTGGGACCGGATTTGGACGAAAACAGTAGGAGACGAGGACTGGCCCTGGGAATGGAGGACGATACTCACTGGACATTTGCCCCAAGGCCAGTCAAGTGAATTCAGGTCCCATATGTTCCAGCTGGGCAGACGAGCTATTCTATGGACGCTGTGGTGGAAAAGATGTGCACTGGCCATAGACAAAGCAAGGGTGGATGGACCGGAAGCAGCAGAGCACATCAGATCACATATACAAACAGAACTGCAAGTGAGATGGCAGGAAACAGAAAGGAAATTGGCCCTCTTGAACGACACCTCAGAAATCCAAAAGAAAATCCACGCCTACAGCAGAGATTGGTTGAGGAGTGAACAAGGAGGATGGATAGCATCGGTAAAATGGGAAGGAAAGAACAAAGGAAATGAGCCAGAAACAGACAAGGGGAAAATGGGAACACCACACAGGGGTTATAAGCTGGTCTTCAATAACTGGACAGTCCTGGACCCAACACAACCCCTTCGCCCCCCACAAGACTTCCCAGACCCCTTCCCCCCAAATGCCCTGGCAATTGTTGACAAGGCATGGTATGGCCACTAAGGAGGACGGGGTTCGGGCGACGATCAGAGCTGGAGGACGCAGGGGCCTCCCGATAGTCCTACCCTCTGGTGCCCCCCAGAGATAGGACGGTAACGAGCGAGTGGAGGCCCTGACGGTGCGGAAGACCTACAGGAACTGCAAAGGTGTCCAGCAGGGGAAGGATTGAGCACATAAATGTCGAGCGCAGCAGGAGAGGAAGAGGGAGGAAGGGAAGGGGAAACTAGGAGTATCAGAAGTTTTCTGGCGCCTCACACCAGGCGAAGAGGTTCTCCCCTTTCAAACGCCCCGTTCCTCTGGAAGAACCCAGATCAATCAATGCTGACAGAATGCACCTACCCCCTGAGTAGCTGTCTGAATACTAATCTGATGACAGAGCTTGTGTATTAGCAAAGATGTATCATTGGGACGCTGGACCCGGTTTCCAGCAGGTGCTGCTCCCCACCAATAGATGGAGCCTCCCCTATGGTGCTAGTGGTGCCTGCTCTTATCAGCACCGCTACCGGTAGCAGCAGCCCGGGTTGTTTTTGTAAAAAAAAAAAAAAACAAAAAAAAAAAAAAAAAAACCGGGAATCCTCACAAACAAACTGGACTAACATACCACTGGGTAGTGTCCAGCCTCAGTTCAACCAATTTGATCCAGGTCCCCAAGGAAACAATGTGCTTCAATAGAGCCGTCTGCTCTTCATTCCCCACTCCAATGTCACTACTATATCCAACCTATCTATCACGAGAACTAGAATACAGGGTGTGCGTGCTCTTATCAGCACTCCAATACAGGGTGTGTGTGCTCTTATCAGCACCCCAATACAGGGTGTGCGTGCTCTTATCAGCACCCCTAGCGTCCACTCGGGTTGTTCTTCAAAAAAAAAGAAAAAAAAGAAAGAATACAGGTCTACCACGACCCTTGGACAGCCACTACCCTCTTCTCTCGTTCTTCCTTCTCTTTTTCTTTTTTGAAGGGTGACCGCCTTGATATATCATCAATCATTGAAGGGTAATCCAAAAGGACTATTCACAAAAAAAAAAAAAAAAAAAAAAAAAAAAAATTAAAAAAAAAAAAAAAAAAAAAAAAAAAAAAAAAAAAAAAAAAAAAAAAAAAAAAAAAAAAAAAAAAAACTCCTTCGGAACATCCGTTAAAATTGGAACGATACAGAGAAGATTAGCATGACACGCATAAATCGAGAAATGGTCCAAAAATTTTTATTAAAAAAAAAAAAGAAAAAAAAAAGGAAAAAGACTTGAACTTGTACTTCAACAGTTCATGGGCCCCGTTGGTGGAGCGCAGCAGCTTGGGGCTTTTGTGAATCGGATCTCTGACATTCAGACAATTGGAGCCTCCGAACTGAACAGCGACCGAAATTCGAGTGGAGGTGAGCAGCCGGGTCCGAAGCACCCCGCGCAACCCAGTCCTGTGGGGCCCACTTCCTTGCGCTTCCAGTCCGCGTCCGTAGATTGCAAAGATCGACGGCGAGGAACGGAGACCTTGCCGAAGGGTGGGAAACACACAAAACACACAATTGCAGCGGTGGACCCGCGCCATGTGGTTTAATGGTACCCACGTCTACCTGACAGTCAGCGTTAGGGGGCCTATCCTCTTCGGAATTGTATGCACACATGACGCATTGGGCCTCGTTCCACTGCTCTCGACAAGCACAAAAGACGAAAGGCAATGGCGCCGTATCTTTCCATGTTCTAGCAGAAGATGCGCTCTCGGTTTGCACATCTCGAGAGTGGTGGAGCGAGGCCCAAAATGAGGACGGACGTGCTTCCCCGAGGACTTTTTCGACGCAGCTGTGGCTGTAATTGCCCTCATATACATTCACAACACAAATCGTGCCGTGAGTGCGGTCAGATACGTCCAGGGACTAGGTCCCACTTACACGAATCAAGCGATTTTAACCGTAGATAGCAACGATCAACGGCCATAATCTCTTAATCCGTGCAAGTGGGACCCTGCCCCAGGAGAGTCGAAACGTGGGAGTACGTATGCCTTTTTTCCCCCCCTCGAATCCAAAAAAATCCAAAAAAAATTTCAAGGGAAAAATAGGGGTGGACCCCCCCTTGGGAGTATGCCTTGCCCCTTGAATCCAAAATTCAAGGGAAAAACAGGGGTGACCCCCCCCTTGGGTCTGAATTTCGGACACAATTTCAGAGAGGACGTTTTGCCATACTTCCGCTTCGGACAGCCGGGGAAACAAGCGACGAAACCACAGGCGTGCAATGCGCGGGTGCGAGAGAGGGGGCAGCGGCAGCGACAGCGAGAAAGAGGAGAGTCGGGGTTGGGAAGGGGGGGAGGGGAAAGGTTCTGCGCGGAAAAGGGTTCCAGGCGACCGGCGGTCAAAACGCTAACGGAGCGAAGAATTGGCGAGGAGAGGCAGGAGTAGGGAGGGAGGGAGGGAGGGACTGGAAATCTGAAGTCTGAACTGAATCGACGTTGGGGGCACGCTGCGGGAGCCACGCGATTAGCCCGACCGACTGGCCCGAAGCACCCTGCAATAAGCGGCATCGGTCTGAGGAAGAGGGGATGGAAGGGACGGGAGGAACCCGGACAAAGGAATGGAACTCGGACCTCGCAGCGATGGTGCGAGGGATATCAATAGGGCGACGGATATCAATAATGATAGCGCTTCTGCTGGCAACGATTCTGCTGTCCTGCCGTTTCTCAGGCAATTCTCTTATCTTATTCCCGCGCCACTGCCCGGACATTGATTCACTCGTCTTGTTTCCTCGCCTCAGTACCTACGTACTTCTTAATCCCGCCTCTCTCTCTCTCTCTCTCTCTCTCTCTCTCTCTCTCTCTCTCTCTCTCTCTCTCTCTC